ACTGCAAACACATCAGCGACATCCAGACACACACTCTGTGAGCTGGTTGTCTGTCTGTCTGCGTCTCATGCTGGTGAGAAACTGGCTTCCAGCTCTCTGTGTGGACGGGGAGGGAGTCCATCCCCAACACACACACACACACACACACACACACACACACACAATATTGACATTAAAACAACATTTACTTTCTGATTGTGTATCTGAATTTAACAGGTTGAAGAAAATAATAATTTGAGGGTTTTATGAATAAATCTGTATGTTTATTGTTTGATAATGTCTTTTGATCACTCTTAAAGTATCATATTATTTAAATTTGGGATGTTTTCCTTCTTGGTTTCGTGGGAGTTGAACAGTGATGCTCTGAATCACTTCTTGTTTTGTAGATGAAGGTGGAATGAAGTTGCTCCATTTCCCCTTTTTGTACCTTTGTCCTGCTGTTCAATAAATGCTCCAGATGTTTGTGTGTTGTTGTGATTCCATGTGCTTCCCCTCTGAGACTGCAGCCACAATCACATGCATGTTGTTTCCCTTTGGACTCTAAACGTCATGTTCTTCACTTCACTGGTTTAAAGCATGCTGGGAGTTGCTGCAAATGGAAGACTCACATCGCCGGAGATCATTTTATCGTAACAAAATAACATTTGTAAATCCTGCGTCTTATCAGCACATGTTGTGGTCGTAGTGTCTACAATGATCTGAATATTGATTGTTCTCTGTTGTCTCTGAGGATAAATGGACGAGTCTTTGACCTGCAGACGTCCAACAAAAGAGCAAGAAGAGTGAACATTTTAGGGGCAAAGCAGTGATTCTTCAGATATCTGAAGAGGGTTTTACTTTTCACAAGACAATTAAACATGAGACGCATTGATTAAGACCGTCCTAATCTACACGTGTGTAAAATCATTTAACAGGACATTTATTAAAGAACACTAGCAAGTAGGAGCAGAGTTGAAACACATACAAGAAGAAATCTTATAAAACATAAGTGATTCATGTTGTTTGCGTTTGTTCATTGTGTGTGTTCTTGCTTTTTGTCCTCAGTTTTGTTAGGGATTTAAGCCAGAAGTGCACCCCTAGTCATAGAATTTGTAGTACGTGTAATGATGTTTAGCAATAGAATTATAGTTTGTGTGTTATTAGATATTAGTTATTACATTAACATGTTAGATGAAGTGAATGCAATTTCAATCAAACACAATTCATAGTCATTTAAATCATATAAACACTGTACACATTAACATTCTGTTACAATGTGATGTTAAAACCTGGGGACGGATGCCAATTGCCGTTCTTCATGGATTTCTCCCAATTTATCCCCAAAGAGGGTTTTTTGGGAGTTTTTTCTCCTGTCAGGTAATAAATGAATAACTTCATGTAAGGCAGCCGACTGAGGCAAATGTCTTGAGAATTGGACCACATGAACTGTCTTAGATCTTATGATGAAGTGTGATGAACGGTGATCATTAATGATGGGTTGTTGTAATTAAAGTGTACTAGTTATAAGATGAAGACTTAAACGATGTGTGCTCTGTTAAATTCACTCATTGAGGCATAAAGCCAACTGTATCTACATTGAGTGCATTGGAATGTGAGGGACAGCTAGGACAGAGAGGTTTCAGGTTACAGCTGCAGCATCACACCTCGTCGTGAAGGGGACAATGGAGGAGGTGACCCTTTGGAGAAGAGGCCAATGACATTCAAATGCACCAAAGAAGACACACCTCAAGAGTTTTCAAAGGGCCATGGCGGGGGAAAGACTGTTAGAATTTCTCCTGCAGCCGCGTTGATAAGTCCCTTCAGACTTGCTCAGAAGATTCTCTATTTCGCGAAATATTCCACTGTTCGCTTAGTATTTCACTTTGTAATTGTAATCCCTATTACGTTGTTCAGTTATTAAATAACTTTTGATTTTTGAATTTAAACGAATTGACTCATTCGTGTCCTCGTTTCTGGCCGGGACGAGAACAAAGGATTGAGTCCTCCCTCGAGAGCTTCCGAAACCTTAACAGTTGGCGCCCAACGTGGGGCTCTCGTTGGGGGAAGACGTTGCTGAGAGGTTTGACTGCAAGTACCACGGGTACAAACAAGGTAAAACAGAACCTTTTTCATGAATTCTGTGATAGGTAGATTTAGGAAAATTTAGAGTGGTGCTGGCAGTCGGCCATGAGGCAAGGCCTTAGATGCTAAAGACTAAAAGCTAGTACATTAATGACTTGGGTGAATATAATAAGCTGATATTGAATAACAATGGGGGCATGCTTTTGCAAAGTGAATGCGAATGGGAGCCGGCTTTTAGAAATTCCAAACACGCGCGTTTGGTGCGTTCAGGTACACACTTAGAGCGTTAGAAAAATCCAGGCGGCGAACTGGTCTGCTGAGACATAAAGACCAGCAGGATAAATTCATACAAGTAGACCCGTATGGGATTGGTTAGGGGGTTCGCATGAGGTGTGACGATGCGCATGTTGTCCACTAGGTTTCCCACAATAATTACGGCGTCTTTAGAGAAGACTCTTATCTTCATTTCCCCTCTCTGTGCATAAAGTCCTTCACAATTAGGTATTGCAGGATTTAATAGATTGGGGGGGGGGAGCTTGCTCTACGGAATTGGCTTACGGGAAAATCCAGCGGCGACTGGTTAAGTTTATGATTAAAAGGAAACCCAGCGGCGACTGGTTAAAAGGAAACCCAGCGGCGACTGGTTAAAAGGAAACCCAGCGGCGACTGGTTGAAAGGAAATCCAGCGGCGACTGGTTAAGGTTATGGTTAAGGTGAAATCCAGCGGCGACTGGTAAGATCTGCTTAACATTTTCCACTCTCTAGAAATCCTATGAATTAGGTATATAGGTTGTCTAGAAGGGGGTGGGTGGCGGATATGCGCTTTAGTGTAAATGATAGTGTATATACATCTGCATGCTGGTGTGAGTGTGAGTGAGTGTGAGTACGTGGTGCGTGAGTGTTTGAGTAACGTGGTGCATGTGCTTGATTGATGAATAGATGTTCCGAATTATGTTTTACTACGTGTATGTGATTGTTTAACAGTGTATATATATGTATAGAATCCGAACTGGAGACTGATCATCTCCGGCGTCGGGTTGTAAAACCATAGCATATTAAGGTGTTGGTGAGTAGTCCAACCCGGACCACGTGGGCTGCCTTGCTAGCGGCTAACGGGGTCTCATTGGTAATTCCACTGGGGAAATAGCGGGGCTTGCGGGGTGCTGATAGCTTGACCACATCGTGGCTTAGCAGTTAGCTTGAGCCCATTGTTCTTTGCTACGCCGGCACACAGCGTTTTACGATCCATGTGCTGAGGTGTGAGGCACTTCCTCTTTGGTAGTTCTGTGTTCGATCTTCAGCTATCGGCTGAACAGCGCCTCATGTGGTTGGAGTAAGTGCACATCGTGAGGGGGAAGCCCCTGAGTGTGCCATCTGGTGGGTGTAAGAGGGAATTACAAGAGGGGGAGTTCAATTTCTTCGCTTGCCGTGTTCGGACGTTGACTTTGATGCACATTTGCCTTTGCTTAATAGGACAGTGTAAAGATTGATAAGACAACTTGACGGATATCTGGATTGGTGTTGACGTTTATTTGAAACATTAAAGTGCTGTATTGTTACGTTGAATTTGGTTTGTACTATAGTTCTGCATCGATTTTGGATTGAAATTGGAGGTTGGCTTAATTTTGATGTGGTGCTTTTGAGAAGCTGTTATGAATTGTTTGATTTCGATCTCCAATGTTTAGCTGAAACCAGATTGACTGTCATTGCATTGTCTCTGGGTTGGGGGTGGATCATTGTTTATATTGCGGTATAATCTCTGGCGGCATTTGTGGGGGAGTGCTTCTGCTATACTTCCTGATTAATATTGCCGGCAGTTTGACTGTATCATCATAACTTTGATTAATTTTGTAACCTTGATTAATAATTTGGATTAATTCATTTTTAGATATCAAGTTTAACTTTATTAAAGTTTAATTTTTAGACTTTTGAATTTTGAATGAAGATTGAGTTTTGATTTGAGATATAATTAATTCTTTCTCTTTTTCCACTGTACAATTGTAATCATAGTCTTTGGCATTGATCATTGATTATACAAATTTTTACAGTTCCGTGATTGATTTGATTTTGTGGTTAGAGGTACTGATAAGTTGATTTAACCTAGTGGTCTAACAAGATAGTTTAGTAAATTACACAGCAGTTATTGGACTGATTTGATGTTGTAAATTGCCCTCCTTACTTTTTAGATTTGGTTATTTGTTTTACTGTGTCGATTCTGGTCGATAGTTCAATTTGACATTTCCTCGGACAGCTGTTAGGGGTGACTTAGTTTGGGTTTTTCTTACAGTTAGTGACAGAGTACCACCTAGGACAGAAGGGACAGCTTAGCGGTTGTTTAGAGTATTCCAGGTTGCATGATGGCTGCGCTTACGACTCAGGAACTGCTTGTCAGGGCCAGAGAGGAGGAAGCAGGTAGCTGTGAACATGGCCGTAAAACACCAAGTGAATACCAGGAGGCCGCAGAGGAGCTGTATATTACTTCAGGACTCCTGTCTATCAAAATACACGTGCAGAGGACCCATCCAAACAACGACAAAGAAGGAGAGGTTGCTGATGGAGGACGTCATCACAATAGACATTGTATCCTGGTGAAGAAGGCTCCAAACCACTATGCAGACTATATTCTCCCTATAAGAAATGAGCCACCTGCAGCCTCCCCTGTCCCACAGTGCCCACTACTGAGAAAAGCCAATGGACAGAGAGAGTTTGTGCCCTGGGGCCATCGGGACATGGAAGCGCTGGAGAAGGGACTGCCGCCATTGGGAGAAGGAGCTAACCCATGGATCCGGCTCTTTGAAAAATACACAATAGGTGATGAATTGGCTCTTGGAGATATGAGAGCCTTAATAGCCCACATGGAGGGTGCTGACAACCTAAGCGCCTTGGAAGTAAGAACAGGCACAACCAACGACGACAATGAGGCCCCATTTGGTAAGGACAGAGGAGTATTTTGGGCCACAATGCGAAACATCTGGCCTACAAAGCCAAGTATGTCCATCCTGATGGGTCTGAGTATGAAACAAGGTGAAGACATGTCTCAATATCTGAGGAGAGCAGAAACAGAATGGCATTTGGCCACAGGAGAAAGACACGACAATAACAAATCTACTGCAGTAATCTGGCGACACACTGTGCAGCAAGGCTTGCCCCAGGCTGTTCAAACAGCGTTTGAGGGAGTAGTGGGACTGGACAACATGGATGAAAGCACATGGAGAGACCATCTACCAACTTCTACAAAATACAGAGAGCTGCGGAGACAAGGAGGCAAGAAGAACTGGGGACGATGACGCATCGACTCCTGAAGGTTCAACTGGGCAGCAGCAGATGCAGAAAGCAACGAAAAGACAGAGAGTCAGGAAACTGTCGGTGAGAGATGAACAACCTCAATACCCTGTTCCTCCAGAAGCCACATATCCAACCGTAGGTCCAGCAGTGAGAAACCAATTGAGAGGATACCAGCAACCACCACTGTACAGAGGGAGAGACAGAGGCCGTGAATATAACCGAGGGAGTGGATACTACCAAGGAGGGTATGGGGTTGATGTGTGTTTTATATTTGGGCAGGTGGGACATTGGTCAAGAACGTGTCCAGTGAAATATGAAGGGAACACACGGTCGAATGCTCCTCCAGGAAGGTTTCCCTACCCACTGCAGCCCAGGCAGAACCAGAGGTTGGGCACACCCCAGCCTCCACCGCCGCACATGTGGTGACCACAGCGACAGATGCCACTTGCGTTGATGGAGACAGAGTTCTGACGAGGCCCTAAACAACTAACTGGTGACACACCGACCCCCGCTGCTTTCCAACAGCTCAGATAAGCACCCTCAGCGTCCACGGTTTACGACTCACATTCCAGGTAGAAAAAGGGAGACTAGAGATTATACACTGCTGAGAGTGTCAGCTGAAACTAGACTTAAACCCGTAGGGAAGATTGATTTTAAAAAGGGGAAATCAGACATTGAAATTAAGAGATAAGGTTGTGTAAGATTTAAATGAGGAATGAAGGTGATAAGGAATTAGGAGAGTTGTTGTATATATTGTCGATTTTTTGGATTAATGTTTGTAGTTTTTCGAGTTTTCTCCTAAATTCAGAGATGGGCGGTAAATTGTTGAGTGCTGTTATTGAGTGTATAGTGCACGATACACTTGATACAGTATCTTGATGATGGAAGCAAATGTCTGATCAAAGGAACATTTATAGCACCAGATCACGAAATATGGAAATTTGTTACAGACGGTCATCCTGTAATGTTCAACAAGTAGTACACCCTTACATTTGGATACGCTAACCATGAGAGGTTGGTGATCTATCATTAATGAATGAATGGATTGGATCAAACTGAGCATGAGCTGAGGTTGTGTTTGCAGGTAACAGACACGTCTCCCACCCTCTGCTTTGCTTTTGGGCTGAAGAGCAATAAAAGTGGAGATTAACACTGGAGGGGGGTCTGGAACAGATGGGTCTGATGCTAAGTTGATTTATTATCTCCTGGTACTTTTTGGGATCAAGGGACTCACACTCTTCATTGTTGTTTTATGACCCTGAAGGGTTTGGAGAACCTTTTGTTGATATCACCGGGGTTTGGGGTTCACATTCTGATACATTGATTGAAGTTTTAGAGACTGATACTGCAAATGCTCGACCACTTGTCAAAGTGGTCGCAAAGGTCAGCAAATTGACTGTAATGATGGAGGTCTTCAGTGAGGACATTGAATGGTTTATTTTAATGGGGAAGTAAGCAAAAATGGGAAAAACAGGTTGAAGAGTTATGCAGTAATGCATAGGTTTTCAAAGGTGATGACACATCATGACAGAGCAAACAGGCTGAAGGTAAAAGGAGAAGAAATTGACTGTGAGGGTGAGAATGTGAGGTAACATTTTTGTGTATACTTGGTATGAGCAGATTGCTTCGAGGTTAGAATGAACAAAGAGAACTTGGTTGGTCAATTAGTTGATGAAGACATGGAACAGTCATACACCATGTGAGTGAGACCTACAAGGAAAAACTCAAAGAGATCATTGAACGGGGACGCGAAGGCAATATTGGTGTTAATTTTTCCTGAGTTGACTATGGGGGTCAATAATCAGTTATGTCGAAGATTCCAAATTTCTATAAATAAATGCCTCCTCAAATCGGTTGGAAACAAGGCCGTTTGAGAAAGGCAATTTTCCAAAACAATGTGTAAATACTCTAGGAGCAGATAAAGATATGCAGAGGCATTCTTTACGTCAACGCATCACATTCTTCATTCAGCTGAGGCTCTAATCCAAAGCGATTTGCAGGAAGTGAATTTGAACAAGAGGGAACAGAACCAAAACAGCAAGAACAAAGAAGAGATTTCTCCTTCTAAGGAAGCAACATTTGTGAGTGTCATCCAGGTGCTAATTCTTCAGTTGTAGTAGTAGGTAGGTATGTGTGTTTGTTATGTTCATTAGGGAACTCCTTCCACCATCAGGTGAACATCAGGAGTCAGGACAAATGATGACTTTGTTGGGAGTTTAGCTCCCAGTAAAAAAAAACAATAGGCAGATGCTGAGATGGGAGTGAATTAGGGACGAGGATAGATTTCAGAGGAGATGCAGAGGTTGAAAGGTGATGGCGACTCATGGTCGAGAAGGGAGTGAGCAGACCTCCCTAAACCAAGGACTGATAAGAGGAGGAATCCTGGGGAAGTGTCGGAGCCATAAAATCCATCCACAGGTTGTATGTCATCTCAGAGTCACCCAACAGGTTTAAGAATCACACACTGTGTGAATGGAAGCAATTATTTCACTATGATAAAATTTACTGACACATTTTTCCTCGAATACATGTGCATGGCAATTGATAACTCTGTTTTGCTTTTCAGTTAGGAACAGGCGACTCCAATGCGAGAAGGTCCAGATCGGCAACGACACCCAGTAGAAACGGCGTTGTGGGGGTTTTACGACGTAGTTGGATAAGCCAGGAGGTGGCCTGGGGGTGATTAGCATTACCAAACGCTATGTGAAGGGATGCTTTTTACACCTACCTCAACATGAGGGACTGGGGGAGAACGAAATATAACTAGAGTATCTGCCGATTTGGGAACATTATTGCATGCAGTGTAAAACACAATCATAAGATTCTAAACAACAGAGATGTGTAGATGACATTGATTTAAGGTGTTAAGAAGAACATACAGTCTTTCTATCAATGAAACAACTCACAAATTGATTAGAATGTTTTTAGGAAAACACTAGATGTTAGAGTTTAGCTACTCAAGTGGCATTTTAGGGATAACCGCAGACGATGGCCAACGCAGGAAGATCCAACCTGAACTTTTCTTCCTGGAACGAATGTGCAATGACATTGCTCTTCTCATACACTGACACAAGGACTGATGAGACACACAGATGATACAATTACTCCACATTAAAAGAAATAGCTAAAACTGGGAAATAAGTGGGTAAAAGGTTGAGTTCCAGTTATGTTTAAATATGCACACACTAGATGGTAGAACTTGTTTGCTTGAAGAGTTTGGTAAACCAGAAGAAAGAGCAACAGGAATTGGGAGAGCACACACACACACACACACACTCACACGCACATCTAGACACACCTACACACACGCACACACATAGCTGCACCACTTGTGCTTCTCTATTCAACAGCCGATTGGGGAATCTTGTCCTAATGGGACCTCCGGTTAGCAGAGTAGTCTGCTCACAGGAACTGAGGTGATCCGAGGTCCAAGGAGGGAGCGTGAAGCTTAATCACACGTCTAGGATGACAGCTACGTGTCATCTGACCAAACCGCTGACAACAACAGATGTTCCAGCAGAGGAACATCAAGGAGGAGAAGTATAGGCACACACATACAACGAAGGAATCCACAAACACTGAGCTAATGTGACACACAATTTCCAGATTAGAGAAGGAACGGGAACTGCTGGGACACTTGATAAACACATATGATAAGAATGTTCAGGATGCAAACAAACATACGCCAACGATATTACAGTAACAGAATTTGAGGATTTTGAGTTCAGAGCGTCTATTCGGTTGCAATGACCAATCATTACCAAGATAAAACTAAGTAGCATTAGACACATTCACGGGGGAACATTTGGAAAGGAGGAGGGGAGAGAAGTCCACCATTTCATAGGATTGTGCCTATTCAGATAACTACAGCATTGTCTCGGTTGAAAGGCATATATCATAGTAAGAATTGAAAATAAGAATTGTTTTTTAGGAGGCTAGGAGTTCTTGTATGTGTTGTTTCTATTTCACTCCAAACAGAGCTGAGGTCATTATTCAATGCAAGTGAATCCACACGACAACAAGTGGAGAGATGGTGTCCATTTATGGAGGGAGAGTAAACTATGAAGGGCAGGGTCTCAACAATTGACCCACTGGTTATGTTCTCCTCCTCAACATGTGTTTTCAACTCGAAGCATCACTGTGGCACCGCCACATATAGAGCGACTATTCTGTTTGATGTCATCCCTCCAGAAACAAACAGGGATGGGAGCATCAATTGAAAGACACATCCAGAGCTGCCCCTGGGGGGGGGGGGAATATATGTCCTATAGTGTTTTTTTTCTTTAGTTTCAGATACCTTGTCCCAATATAATGTGTTGATACGTGTTGAACTTTAAGCGACTGAGACCAGATTCACTAAGAGATCCAGGGGGACATCTTCAGGAGGGTTTCCAACAGCAGCCATGTGGGAGAAAGATTGAATAAGGAATTATGTTCAGTTATTAAATAACTTTTGATTTTTGAATTTAAACGAATTGACTCATTCGTGTCCTCGTTTCCGGCCGGGACGAGAACAAAGGATTGAGTCCTCCCTCGAGAGCTTCCGAAACCTTAACATGTCAATAGCAACTACACTATAGAATTATAAAGTTAGGAAAAAAATATTGTTTCAAAAAACATTGTATACCTGGGGTGTTATTAAAAAGTGCTCAAAAGCTTAGTGAATGTGAGCTTTTGTTTACTGCTGATAAACAGGTGATGCTCACCTAAAGGTTTACGCCCTCATTACGTGGCATTCTGTCGGCGTCCTTTGTTACCTGAGCTGGTGACGGTCCAAGAGGCAAACTTGATGAGACCGTAGAGCACCAGCGCTACACCGACCATTGCCATGGAGTCCTCGATGGACGGGGAGCTGAACCCTGACAGGACGAGAGACGAGTTCAAGCCTTAAATACGTCCTGCACGTTGACGTCCATCTTAGTCGTTGAGCTTGATTCAAGTCATTTATTTTATATTCCATCGCATGTAGCAGATGTGTTGAAATGTTTTTGCCATTGGGGAGAATGTGTTTACTGGACAAACAGCAAACCGTGACCATGACGCAGCTCAGGGAGTACCAGCCCTCTACCACATGTCACATTCATATGATGACTCTAAATGATACTGAAGCAGGTCTTCTGTTCATTAAACTCAGTAAAAGACACAATGTGTCCCCCTCCTCCAAAAGCCTATGGGCGGCATTTTACTCCTCCACGTGTGTCCATACAATGTGTATTTAGTCATAAGCTATATACGCCTCTCCACGTCCTCAACGTACATCAGCATTGTGAGCTCTTCACTGATGATAATATTCGCTCCTTTTATTCCACGTTTGATACTAAGATGGTCAGATGTTAAGTTTTACATTCACTTCCGTTCCTTTTCTAATTCAACCAACAGAAGAATCCCCACCTGGCCTCTTTTTATTAAACAAAGTCCACTAAACAAGCTTAACGAATGACTCAGTACATTCTTCAGCATTACCAATGACGTTGAGGGTCACGCTGGCCCGCCGTGTGCCCCCGAGATGCTCTGGCTGTAGGTTCCGTCCCAGGCCTGCCGGTGTCCCGTTAGGCTGCCCGACCCCAGAGGCCTGGACTTCCCATCGGTGCCTTTGAACTCCCAGCTCAGCTCCAGGGCGAGGGGGGCGAAGCCGGACGCCTCACACTGGACCGTGAAAGACTGGCCGGGGATTGCGAGGGGCAGAGGGGACGGGTGGATGGAGAGGGACGGAGGTTCTGGGTAAAAGAGGGAAAAGAGCAGAGGAGCAAAGACAAAAAGAGACAGTGAGAGAACGTTGATCACAATGTGGTCCGATGGAATCTCGGTTCTTCAGCAGCTTCTGAACTCTTCATTTCCAAATGAAAAATGTCTTTATCCAACAGCAGTTTCCCTCACCGACGACCTGGAGCTCCATCGTCACCTGAGCCACGAGGTAGGGCAGATACACCGTGCAGATATACAGCCCCGAGTGACGCACTTTAGCCTCCCGCAGGATCAGCGACGCATTCCCTCTCTGGTGCAGGCCCTCATAGTCCAGCGTGGCCCCCTCCTCTTGGACGTCGGCCAGGCGGTCCGTTTTGCCGTCGTAGGCCAGAACCAAGCGGCCGTCCCCTCTGAACTGGTAGCGCCACTCTACGGCGAAACCCGACCCGGAGAGAGGCGACGAGGGGTTGGCCCAGAGGCCGCAATCCAGCAGCACTGGCCCCCCGAGTCTGGACTGCACGGAGACGGTTGTAGTGGTCACACTCAGGACCACTGAGGAGACAAAGACTTGATTACATTTTGAGTGTGGAACAGAAATGGTCTTTTGGACTGGTCTCCTGGGTCATGAGTCATTACCTCGGTGCTCTTTGGTTGCCGTGGGAGCACGAGTGATGGTGGAGACGGCCAGCTGTCCGTTGAGGCCCTTGAGGGCAGTGGAAAACCAATCGGCCTGCAGGTAGATGGGGCTGGAGGCGGAGTCTGTGAGTGGAGATGCCCACTTGAGGGTGGAGGGCTGCGGCAGGAAGGGGTTGATCTCACACTGAGGCTTTTCCACCGAGCCTCTGGGAGGGTTGAGAGAGCGGTGGCAGAGAGTGCCGGCTGGGTCTGAGGAGGTTGTTGTGGTTAACAGCAGGTTTACAGATACTCAAACTATTGCTACTTTATAAAAACAGAGAATCTAAAGAGGGAGATTAATACTACGCCTGCTTAAAAAATGTGTACTGATAGTTTTTTCCTTTTCTGATTCCTTCCTAATCATTTACCAAATTCCTGGCTGAGAAATTCAAGTTCAAGCCTGGAGGAAAAGAATGGTGTAATTAAGCAACATTGGACTCATATATCCAAATATTGATGGGATATTAAACAAGAAAGGTATCTTCTATCAATAAATACACATGATCGGTGCGTTTGTGTAGCATAACTATTTAACGCTCTCCGATTGACTTTGAAGGTTAACAGATAACTACACACAGACACACACTCTCTCTCCCACATGTACACACATGCTGCTCTGCGTGTCACCCGAACTGACCGGTGATGAGGTAAACTCTGTCGGGGTGGATGTCGGATGGAGCCTGCTGGCTCTCTGCAGGGTGGGGGTCGGTTTGGATGTGCAGAAGGGATTTCTCCAGGGTCGTAGCTGCAGCGAGACCTCCTCCTCGACCCGTCTTCTCCTGCACAAACCAGCACTCCAACACGGGACAGCTGCTGCAGGCTGTGGACCAATCACAAGAAAGGATCGGTATCAGGAACAGCAATATCATCACATTACACTGAAGTATTTTATTATTATTATTATTATCACTGGAACTGTGTAGCTGTGTACTCTTTAAAGTGATCTCGGTGTATTGATTATCTCTCTCCCCTCTCGATGCTGCGCGGTAACATTTCCAGCCACGAGGGGGCGCTGATGCCCTGAACGCGTCACACCAGATTCCCTTGTATGAACCTTCATTTAACAAGACTTATGTTAAAGTTAACAACATGCAATGAACAGGAAATAGCTTAACTCATTATATCATGTGAATGTATGTCGTGCTTAGTTCGGCACATGAAGAACCCGATGGATAATGACATATAACTCTGTTTTAGATGCATAGTTAAAGTTACACTTGTAATGAAGGTGTTTGTAGTGAGAACAGCAGAGAGACATTTGAATAAAAGACTCCAGAGAGCCTGTTAACGTGACGCCACCTTCACCGCAGCAGACCGCTGCTACCAGGCACAGCGTGCAGATTGTAGAGATGTTCATCATGCTTGTGTCTTCTTTTTGCCGTCTGACAACGCTGCTACACAAACAAAGTGTGACATTTTAGTTTCACTTTCACCTGCAAGCTAGAAATAAATAATATATGTTTCCGGTCATGATTTCAAAATAAAAACACCACAATCAACGCCCAGCGATATTAAAGGTAAAGTTCGGACTGACAATAAAATTGACTAAACTCAACGACAGAGCAACGATCAGCAGTTTTTATAAAAGAAAGAAACAGTTGGTGGACAATAAGAAAGTATTGAGCTCTGCCGCTAGATGGCGCCCTACACCACAAAATAATGAACCAGGTCACCAGCATTATGTGTCCTTATGTGACCTTATTGGTTTCATTTATGGACATGATATCACCTGATTATTATTATTATTATTGTTATAGCAAAGTTAGAATCAATTAGTGTATTGTGTACAATAGGAATAGACACACAGCGAGATCTGAGTCTGCAGTCTGGAGGAAGTAAATGTATTGTAGGTTTAGAGGCAGCTGGACACCTTATTACAGCTCATGTTTGATTATTTATCCACAGAAAGTATCTTCTTTGTCTCCAGAGGAATGTGGCAAAGCGAGGCGGGCAAGAAGCTTTAGGCAGAGATCTAGTTGTCATAATATGCACATCGTGGCAGAACTGTGTGTCACACACTAGACACCAAAACGAAACCCAGCGGCCTCATACGTCCCTGGTGGACTACACGGTGTTTCAGGAGCTTTACAAAGTATCTCTGAATATTTAGAACATGTACTTGTGAGGAGCAGCAGAGCTCAGTTTGTTGGTTCCACCCAGGAAGAATTTTCCAAATCTTCTTTGGTAATACTGAACTGCTTATTCTGCCATCGACTCTAGTTTGGTGTTAATGAATTAAATCATGAAAAGGAGGAAGCTGAAAGACGACAAGAGAAGACACTGAAACACACTTGTGTCATAATTTATAATATAATTCATAGAAAACTAACATGTTTTACAAGAAGTCATATGATTGTGGTTTTATATGTAAATAACATGTGAATAAGGATTGTGTGCCGCATCTCTCTTGTTGTGTGTTCAGTCTGAATTAAGTGTTCTCTTCCTACAACAACCGGTTTTCTTTGATTCCACCTAGTTACTGATGACGTAGAGCAAATACTGGATTGTGATTGGTCAGAATCGAGCCTTAGAAGCACATTGAAGTCAGCGGTCCTCCCTCTTCTCCCTCAGTCGGCGTTTGATCCTTGAAGAGAAAGTGAAACCTTAAAAACAAGCGGAAGTTAAAATGCGACTTGTCGGGGCGGAGATCTCGGTTCTGTCTCTCCTGATGATGAGCCTTCACGGCGCTGCAGCACGTGAGTTGACGCTTTGTTTAATGAGGTGTTTGATTGTAGAAGAAGAGACGCTTCGTGTCTTCATAGGCTGCAGACATCAGCTGAAGTGTCTCTGATGTCTCTGATGTTTAGCTCAGGACTCTCTCGATGACGACAGACAAAGTTGTAAAAAGTAACACATGTTGTCAAAGTGCGCGCGTGTTTCCTCTCGTGAGTTTGTGTGAAGGACAGAAGCGTGTTTGTCTCACTCTGCTGTCTCTGTCTTCGGGACATTAAACGGACGGATCGCTTTTTATTCTCGGACAGATTTACAAAACATTTTGGTGACCAGTGCTAAAATAAAAACTCATAAATATGAATTCAGACACAGAGGACATGAATATTGTGAAACATTTTTACTGCGCTGATCATTTTAAATAATATTCTAATCTTCTTGGATTCTTTTCATCCAGCTGATACCGATAGAAACTAAAATAGATACAGATTTAATATAGTTTCTTAAGTATAATGCTGTGTCCCTCTGTTTATACTTTAGTTTTTCACAATTATATTTTATAGTTCAACTTAAATATAGAGATAAACAAGAAACTGGTCAGATTAGTTTCTTGTTTCTAAATGGTTGAATGAAAAAAGGAGAATCCTTTTACTCAAACAATTTAAATCTTAACAATCTCAACAACAAAATGAATACGTTTTGATTTGAATATAAAAAATGTTAACAGAATTAAAAGATCAAATAAATGACCTTTGAACTTGTTTGTGTCTCCACTTCTCTTCAAGAAACTCAGATTTCAAAGTTATTGTTTAAAACCTCACAAGACGAAACGTCTGAGGTCACAATTTATGACATAAAACAGTTTGATGTATACGATCAAATCAAATGTCAATATAAGGAACATTATACAATAATAAGAAATCTGGTTTTACAAACTGATTTCTATGCGTGAAAGTCAGAAACACAAAATGATGATCTGAATATGTGAATTGTTTAATATTTCAATTTAGAATATGTTTTTAAAAGCTGAATCATCATAAATATCAAAGTAAACATTTATTTCTGTATTTATTGAGTTGTTAAACACAGCAGATGTTATCAGGGTGTCTTTGATGTTCTGTGTTTATTTTTAATTCAGTGTGCAGGAAAACAACATAATTATTGATTAATTAAAGTGTGACATCAGAACTGATGATGATTCCTTTTTGGTTCCAGTGACTCACTCAATGAAGTATTTCTACACTGGATCCTCTGGAGTCCCAAACTTCCCAGAGTTTGTGATTGTTGGGCTGCTGGATGAAGTTGAGATGTTTCACTATGACAGTAACACCAGGAGAGCAGAACCCAGACAGGACTGGATGAGCAGAGTCACAGAGGACGATCCTCAGTACTGGAAGAGGCAGACTGAGAAGTCTATGGACACCCAGCAGGTCTACAAAGTCGACATTGAAATACTAAAACAACGCTTCAACCAAACTGGAGGTTTGTTTATGTTTCACACGTTTTGTTTATATTTGCATCCTTTATGTTATTACATAAACACACACACACACACACACACACACACACACACACACACACACACACACAGATTAAAACAGTCTGAGATCTTTTCTTGACTGAAACATTTTCTGCTTCCAGTTCCTAAATATAAGTATATAAACACATTGAATACTTATCCGTGTTGTTCAGGAGGAAGAAGATTTCCTCTCATCCTGATTAGAACTCCAGCTTAGATTAGATGAGCTTTACTTGAGCTCAGGGAGTCGATGCTTCAGTATTTCATTCCAGGTTTTATCAGATGACGTCCAACATGTTCTAGTTGAGGTTCCTCACTGAGACGACTTCTTCCTCTTGTCTGTTTGAAATGGTGATGAATGAAATACTGCTCAGTGTTGTTCACACTGAAGAAGCACTTCCAAGGTTTCATCAGCCTCTCTGACATTTTACAGTGTGAACAATTCATGGATTCATTAGAAATAGTTATTACATCATCTGCAAAGACAAGAATAATTAGTTTGAGCCCAAAATCTGCAGTATGATACAGATGAGAGTTAATGAACTAAAGTGGACTGCAGTGAGTTTAGAACAAACATTCAGGATATTTAGTGTTGAAACAGTGAATCAATCAGTCGATGAACAGAAAATGAATCAACATGAATGTTGATAATCAGATGATGACTGAAGTCTTTTATCAAGCAAATATGTTTCTCTCTCTTGGAATTTATAGCTGTGCCTATCTGCCCTCGGCTTCTTCAATGTAGCATCTAAAGAAGACAAAAATAATTAGATAATATAATAATATTGGAACAATAATGAGCGAATGGCACACACACACACACACATGCTCGAAGAAGGTATGCATTAAAATCAAGCAAATCAATTACCGGCATAGACAAAATAAGGCAGGACAGAGGGGATTAAGGGTGAAGGAGAGTGAATATTATTATTTATGAACACTTCAGACAACAACAATATGCCATGAGGTTATTTGCAACACTATATGTTCTACAAAATAGAAGACTACACACCTTGCAGCACATTGAGCGCAATACCCCAGAAATGTGGTTTTAGAAAAGGAAAGGTGGGATCAAGAAGTGAGCAAGCAATGAATTAGTATTATAGGTGCTAAGCAGATACAGTAACAATAATGGGTGCCCTACCTTATGCAGTCTCCATTGATGCCTAATAAACATTGATACAAGTAGGCTATGGTTAAAGTGGTGAACTTATAAAGTCTTAAAAGTTTTGTTTTCCCTTCTCAACACATTATGCATTTACTCACCAATAATGGCTGCCTTTTTTATTTTGTCCAGGGCAAACAGCTGCTCCCCGTCCCCTCTGGTTGGCTTCCCACCTTAAAGTAAAATTTCAAAATTATTATGAAAGGCGGGTAAAATGAAGGTGGAGTAAGCAAGAGTTTTTTTTATATATACACACACATCACGTTTTTGAACCATTCAGGTTGCTTCCCATTCCAGAACATCTTTCAGATGTGCATTTTCACTTTTGAGAGACTGAACTTTTCTCAACTCCTGCAAATTTCTTTGCATTTGTTCAATTTTTTTTCTCTCCCACATCTGTTCGTCCAGTTGCTTTCTAAATTCAGCAGCGCTCTATGAGAAAGAGAAATACAGAGAAGAACAACAGCTAATTGTTATATAACTTTTTTTGTAAATGGTTGATTCTGATTTTCACAAGAAATGTAAGAGGAAGGTGGCAAGAAGTCTACGGCAGAAATCCCCCCACTTACGCTATATGTAACTGGTTGTCTAGCAAACATGCACCACACACCGGATGTCATCATTTAGGCTACCTTTTTCTTTGAGGCTGGTACTTTGTCGTCTTCATCCCCAATATGCTCCTCCTCTTCACTGGCCCGCTGGGAGGGAGAGAGAAAGAGAGAGGACAAAGTTGCCTACTGTGCTGGTGTCATACCTTGTAACAGCTACTGGTAATAAACTTTATTATAAAAGTCTTACTTATCTTTACTGTATTGCAATGTAATAACACACACTGGATGCAGACTGGTAGTGTTCCTTGTTCTTTGTGTCATGACGTGCCTCATCATCCACTTCCTCCTCCTCCTCCTCGTATTTAGAAAGATTTTTCTTTTTCACGGCAACCTTTGGAGGGAGAGGGAGAAACAGAGGAACCATGAATGTATTGTAATGTAACAGCACACACAGGACGACTGGTAGTGTACCTTGTTCTTTGAAAGTCTGTCATGACCCTCCTCCTGCTTCTCACCCTCCTGGCGCTTGTATTTGGAAGACCCTCCCTTTTTATTGTCAACCGACAGAAAGACACAGACTGACTTTTAGCCCAACTCTTATTAACTTGCGTTACACCAGCTTGCACATATATCTTGTCAAAGCACATTAAATCATCATAGATGACACAATTACAAACCTACAAACATGTCTACACATTAGGAAACAAGAGAGGGGAGATAACTTGAACTAAAGCACCAATTGGTGCAGTCAGTTACCTTTTTTTTTGAAGCCTTCTCAGTCTTCCCCTGCTGCTCAATGTACTTTGAGTTTGGGATGTGAGGACGTTTTGTTTGTGTGCCCTCTTTCTCCACCTCGATCTCACGCAGTTTAATTTGGAGGTTTTTCAAATTCTGGTGCAATAAAATTGAAATGTTTACTGCAAACGTTTGTCTAAACATGTTTAACGTTACCAAACATAACATTAGTCCCAATTAAGAGACTTAGGTAGCATTAGCAAATTAGGTAGCTAACAGCCAGCATACTAAGCTAGTCAGGTAACAAGATCCATTTTACACTTCTTTAAGTGCGAGCAAAATTTGATGTCCATCCATCGTCAGACCGCTTATCCTGCACACAGGGTCGCGGGGGGGCTGGAGTCCATCCCAGCCAACTTCGGGCGATAGACAGGGTACACCCTGGATTGGTCGCCAGCCAATCGCAGGGCAACACAGAGACACACAACCATTCACACTCACATTCACACAACTACGGGCAATTTAAAGTCCCCAATTAACCTGATCCCCAGAGCATGTCTTTGGACTGTGGGAGGAAGCCGGAGAACCCGGAGAGAACCCACGCAGACACGGGGAGAACATGCAGACTCCACACAGAAAGGCCTCTGGGCGGAATCGAACCCAGGACCTTCTTGCTGTGAGGCGACAGTGCTAACCACCACGCCACCATGCCGCCCTTAAAAATGTAATGTGATATACATAATAGAAATGTAACATGACTTACTTGCCACGTCAATAATTTTGGCTCGGTGAACCGGCCAGGGCAGTAAGGCCGAGATCCTCCTTGTGGCAGTGGCAAGTGGGTGGCATCAAACTTGAGAGCCCCACCACCTACACGGAACCCGCCGGTCCAAACCTAAAATTAGCCTCTGTAATAAGAAGACGGGGGCTCACGTGTCTCAAATAAAATTAAATAAAATTAAATAAAATTAAATATTTACAGCAGCTGACCTGTCGTACAAATAACAGTTGTTTCTGGGAAAAATTGGCTCCTCCCACCCAGCGTGCCGTCGTGACGCCGACTGATTTACTGGCGATTGCCGCTGCCTGCCACAAAGTTGCCACCCACTTGCCACTGCCACAAAGAGGATCTCGCTGTCACTTGGCCAGGGTTGGCGGCCTTTTCGTCATTCCACCAGCTTCTCGGTTTGTTCAGTCGAGGCAAAAAAATCTTGAACTGAAAATTCCGGACACAGTCCATCGTCAAAATACTATGCGCCCCACTATCATCACCCTCAGTCCATTCAAGTAGGACATAGCGGAATGCTGATGTCTCCATTTTTAATACTTTATACTTTGTCCCAGCCGTTATCTTTCGGCGCGATCGCGCCTGCATGGGAATGAGGTCATCAACAAGCGGCCCAGCGCGGTTGATGACGTCATTCGCATGCGACGCTGTAGCGGCCGATCGGAGCAGAGTGGACACATGCTTGCCATTATGCTTTACGGTCTGTGGTAAATAAGCAACAAATAAAGAAAAACAATGGATCCAGTACGTTACAAAAGGTACCTCGTCAACGACGAAGCACCCGTTCCAGAAAGAACTAAGCGAAGACGTAAACGAAAGTAACATGCTAGAAGCTAGCTACAAAGCTACCAGCTACAGGTATCATGTAAACATATGTGGCATAGCGGGAATGCTTCTGTCTCCTTATCTGTCTGTGTGTCCCTACCTCCCTCTAACTGTATCCCTCCCTCCTGTCTCCCGCTCTCTCTATGCCTCCCTCTCTCTTTCTTTCTCTTTTCTCATCTCCTCTCTTCTCGCATGCTCTTCTTTTTGGAAAGAAAAGTGTCTGTTCGTTAAAACCGTGTACGGAAATGTTGACATTGTGTTCAAATGAATTAACCACAGTGAAATGCTCAGATAGATATGGGATGATGATGATGAATACTTTTTTTTTTGCTACATTTAGACTAATGACCTTTCAGCCATATTCATTTAGAAACTGCATTAATGTGAATGTGTGGATGTGTATGAGCTGTAATGTGAATAAGTGACTTTGCAAAAAAAAGGCTTGATTGACAAAATAAAATAAAAACACGAGCCATTTTGTTATACATTTTCTTCTGTACCACTATCTTCATACAAGAAAGATTTGAAAATGTGTAGCCTCAGAGCTTTCCATCTCCTCTCACTTAATTGCCATGGTTAAATTCCATAACATCACATATACCCGTGATACTAAGTTCTTTCAGAATTTTTATTTTACTTAGTTCTTAATTAATGCTTTGATAATAATATGAGCTAAGCATCATGTATGACAGTATGACAGTGAGATATGAGCTACATAATGACCAGATCCTGCCATGAGCTGTATAACCCATATCTTGTATGTACATAGGGCTTATATGTGGATATAAGCAATACAGGAGACCTATATGGTCTGTATATGCACATATAGGCACATATAGTCCCAGCTCCGCCTGGCCCGGGAGCGGCGGTTGCGTCTCCGGCGAGGGGTGCGGCGGTCGCGTCTCCGGTTGGGGGCGTGGCAGCGGGGGGGCATGGTAGTGGTGCTGCTGGGCCTGACCTGCACGGGGTGAGTATGAATGTGAACGGTTGATGGTGATGGTGTCCAGGGCAGTAGGGGGGGGGCTTTGGCTACAGGGGGAAATGGTGAGGAGGGAGGGGGTCAGACAGGAGCGGGTCAAAGTAGGAACCTGTAGAAGAGGCAGAACAGGGTGGCGGAGGGGAGGGGGGATATAAAAGTACGAGTGGGGGGGGGTGGGCTGAGCAGGTGGAAGAAGCAGAGATGGAGGAGGAGGAGGAGGAGGAGGACGCCTGTGGGGCGGGGGGGCAAAAATTTGCCCCCAAAAGAAAAAATATGGCGAAAAGCGTAGGCAGTGAAGCCAAAGCCAGCAAGGGCGGGGAGGACACGCAGACTGGTCGGGGGCCGAGGCAGTCAGAGGACAGCGACAGTAAGGAGGGTTTGTCGGACTGCAGCGATGCCCCGACGGGGTTTTTAAGTAACAGCCAACAACAAAAAATGTACAGTGCTGAGAAAATAAGTATGTTCTTAAAGAAAACAAAAGGGAAAAAGGGTGTAAAGGTCATAGATTTCTTCCCCGATCTTAATTTGTTTTATATTTCTGCCAGACACCACATGAGCCGGGGGGAAGAGTCCGGCCTCACTGAGCAGGAGGGCTACAGACTAAAGAAGCTGCTATAGGGAAAGTAGGCAGAGCAATCAACAAGGGCAATGTCGAAATCTCCAATGTGTGTTTTAATTAATTTATTGGTTTTTATTTTTGGTGCAAACTTACTCACAATGAATTCTTTTAAAGTGGGGAGTTTAAATGTGAACGGAGCCAGAGATGAGAAGAAGAGAGCATCTATGTATGAATTAAAAAAATTGAAGTGTATTGATGTTCTCTTCTTACAAGAAACTCACAGCGACAGCACCAACGAGGCCGACTGGATGAGGGATTGGGAAGGGGAAGTCCTCCTAAGCCACAACACCAACCTCAGTGGAGGAGTGGGCTTCCTCTTCTCCAGGTCTTTTAATCCACTGTCACTGGAGGTCAAACACATCATCGAGGGGAGGTTGTTCTTAGTCAAGGCACGCTTCGACCTTTTTACTGTTGTTTTTATCAATGTGTATGCTCCAACAATCGGTGCAGAGAGGAAGCTGTTTTTACAAAAAATTGATAATGTTTTAAATGGCTGTGCCCCGGAGGATTTTTTATTTTTGGGGGGGGATTTTAACTGTACGGAAAATGATTTGAAAGACCGTAATCACGCAGAGCCACATCCAGCTTCCCAGCGCGCTCTGAGGCAGCTGGTCCAGTCTCATGGCCTGGTGGATGTGTGGAGAAGGATGCATGCAGACTGCCGACAGTACACGTGGTCCTTTTTTAGAGAAGGTAGAATCTCCTCAGCCAGGTTAGATTGTTTTTACGTTTTTAAGCAACATTTTAATATTTTTAAGGTGTGCAGTATTGTCCCTGCTGTTTTTACTGATCATTCTTTGCTTTTATGTAATGTTTTTATTGGAAACGTTTCACCTAGAAGTGCATATTGGCATTTTAACTCTGTATTAACTTGTGATAAAAATTTTAGAGAGGTCTTTGCATACTTCTGGGGTGTTTTTAGGCTGAGGAAGAGTGAGTTTAGCAGTCTTAAACAGTGGTGGGACCACGGGAAGATTGAGATTGGGCTCCTCTGTCAACAGCACACCTTCAACGTCACCAGAGACATCGCTAGATCTATGAAGGACCTGGAAACTGAGATAGTGGAACTAGAACATTTAAGCGAGTCCACAGGAGATCAAGGACATTTTGAAGTCCTCAAAGGAAAAAAATGGCTCTGGCCGACCTGTTTAACGTTAAAGTCCAGGGTGCACTGGTCAGGTCCCGATTTCAGACCATCACAGAGATGGACACTCCCTCTAGCTTCTTCTTCGGCCCAGAGAAGAAGAGTGGGCAGGGGAGGGTGATCCACTCGCTGTTAGGTGACGCAGGGCAGCCGGTTGTGGAACCATGCCAGATTAGGAGGCGAGCTGTGGCTTTCTTCTCCTCCCTAAATACCAGTGAGTACGGGGAGGAGGAGGCACTGATAGAGGGTCTCTGCAGTGAGCTTCCTCAGGTCCAGGAGGAGACCAATGTAACGCTTGACAGGCCAATAAGCCCAGGGGAGCAGAGGGCCGCCTTGATGGGCATGCAGGGAGGGCGTGCCCCGGGAATTGACGGCCTCTCGGCCGAATTTTACAAGGCGTTCTGGGACATCCTCGCCGATGACATCCTAGAGGTGCTAAATGAGAGTCTGGCCTCTGGTTCCGTGCCGATGTCCTGCCGCAGAGCTGTAATAACGCTACTGCCAAAAAGGGAAACCCGCAGGACATCGGCAACTGGCGCCCTGTGTCCCTGCTGTGTGTGGATTACAAGCTCCTGTCCAAGGTCTTTGCCTCCAGGCTGAGGGAAGCTATGGAGCAGGTCATCCATCGGGACCAGACCTACTGTGTGCCCGGCAGGTCCTTGGTAGACAATGTCTACCTTATTCGAGATGTTTTGGAGGTCTCCAGCTCATTGGGCAATAACACTGGCCGGATTTCTCTAGACCAGGAAAAGGCTTTTGACCGCGTTGAGCACAGCTTCCTCTGGAAGGTCATGGGGAGGTTTGGGTTCAGCGCTGGTTTCATAGCTAAGATCAAAGTGTTGTACAGGGACATTGAGAGTGTGCTGAAGATAAACGGTAGTCTGTGTGCTCCTTTTAGAGTGTATAGAGGGGTCCGGCAGGGTTGTGCTCTGTCCGGGATGCTCTATGCACTCTCCCTGGAACCCCTTCTCGGCAAAATACGCTCTAGCCTGGAGGGCCTGGTTTTACCTGGTTTTAGTAGAAGGATGATTTTATCGGCGTATGCCGACGATGTTGTTGTTTTTATTAAAGACCAGAGGGATGCAGACCTTTTAAATAACATCGTGAAAAGTTTTAGTAAGGCATCGGCAGCGAGGGTGATTTGGGAAAAAAAGTGAAGCCCTCGCTGTCGGTGAATGGCGTGGCGGCCTCCCAGTTCTTTCCCCAAAGCCTAGTGTGGAGGAAAGATGGTTTTGAATACCTGGAGATTTATCTGGGACAATAGAGCATTGTCCAGAAGAACTGGGAGGGCGTCACAGAGAAGATAGAGGGGAAACTTTCCAAATGGAAATGGCTGCTCCCTCAAATGTCTTTTAAAGGTAGAGTTTTGGTTTTAAACAACCTGATTGCATCCCAGCTGTGGCATCGTCTCACCTGCCTCGACCCTCCCTCAGGCTTCCTTGCCAACTTAAAGAAGAAAATGGTGGATTTCTATTGGGGGGGTCTACACTGGGTGCCACAAGGGGTGCTGTTTTTAGCCAGAGAGGAGGGGGGACAGGGCCTCGTCCACCTGGCCAGAAAGGAGCCTCCTCACAGACTACAGCCAGAAAGATGTGGAGCCGGACCCTGCAGACCCCTTCCCCGAGATCTACCTGAGCCCAGGACTAGGGGAACTCACCGGCCCCCTGCTCGCCACAACACGCCCCGAAGCGCTGACATTGCACGAAGCAGACAAGAAGACTCTGTATTTTAACTGTGTGAAGGGCATAAACCGGTCCGGACTGTGCGACAGGCTCCCCACTGTGTGGTCCAACAGACTGGGACAAAATTGACCGGGCCCATGGAGGATTTTATACAAACCTCCCCTCAAGAAACGGACTGCCGACCTCCAGTGGAGAATTTTACACGGTGCTGTCGCCTCCAACGCTTTTATTTCAGTTATTAATCCCACTGTTCTGAGCAAATGCCCCTTCTGTGACCTCCGAGAGACTATTTATCATGTTTTTACAGAGTGCAAGAGACTTGCGAGTTTCTTCTCTCTTTTAACATCGGTTTTTAGTCTTTTTAATGTGGTTTTTACTGAAAAGATTTTTATCATGGGAGCTGCCTACAAGAAAGCAGAAAAAGAAAAGTGGCAGCTCCTCAACTATCTTTCAGGAGAAGCCAAAATGGCCATTTATTTAAGCAGGAAGGCCAGAGTGAAGGACAGAGAGGGGCAGGAGGCCAGAGCAGTGTGGCTGGTGAATCAGGGCCAGGCTCTGGCTAGAGTTCCGCTTTTATAAACACATTGGAGACGTAGACACTTTTAAACAACGCTGGTGTTTTAATAATGTTGTGTGCTCAGTGGAAAAGAATGAATTGGTGTTTGCTCCTGTTTTTATGGCATGAAATATAAATTTGCTTTGTTTTGTTTTGTTTTGTTTTGTTTTTTTGTTGCTTTGTCTTGGTTTTTTTAACAAAGGAAGGAAATCTGTGACCTTTTTTTTTGACAAAGTTGTTGAAATATGTAAACTAAATTGTTTTTCTAAAAAATCAAATCAAAAAATCTCTCTCTCTCTCAGGTGTCCACATTGTCCAGTTGATGATCGGATGTGAATGGGATGATGTGACCAATGAGGTCAAAGGTTATAATCAGTATGGTTATGATGGAGAAGACTTCATATCATTTGACCTGCAGACAGAGCAATGGATCGCTCCAAAACAGCAGGCTGTCCTCACCAAACAGAAGTGGGATCATGACAGAGCTCTGAAAGCACACGACAAGAACTACCTGACTCATGTGTGTCCTGAGTGGCTGAAGAAGTTCTTGAACTACGGGAGGAGCTCTCTGATGAGAACCGGTAGGATCACATGACCTGATGTCCTTCCATGGACACGATGCTCATAAACCATCTGTTGTTTCATAGCAACATGTCAGAGACACACAGAGACCCACTGTGTCTCCCACATTTCTCCCCCCTCACCTCCTTCTCTCCTTCACTGCACTCCCTCCCTCACTTCCCCCCTCACACCTGTCCCCACTCTGTCCCTCCATCCTCTTTGTCTCTGCTGTGTTTCTGTCCGTCTCACTGTCTCTTTACTCTCTCTCACACACTGTCCTCCTCCCCTTCCAATCCGTCTCCCCCCTCTTCATCTGTTTGTCTCCCTTCTTTAATCAATGAAACTTTAAAGACATTTCATTCTTTTAGTAAACTTAAATACACATAGTTGAGTGTTAAAGAGGCATTTTAAATACATCAAAGATGAATGATATTAATACACTAAATATCAGTGATAATAATAAAGATGTAACCTGTCCCTCTCTTCTGTCTCCAGAGCGTCCCTCGGTGTCTCTCCTCCAGAAGACTCCCTCCTCTCCAGTCAGCTGCCACGCTACAGGTTTCTACCCCCACAGAGCCGCCCTCTTCTGGAGGAAAGATGGAGAGCAGCTCCATGAGGACGTGGACCTCGGAGAGATCCTCCCCAACCACGACGGGACCTTCCAGATGAGGGTTGACCTGAAACTGTCCTCCGTCCCTGCTGAAGACTGGAGGAGGTACGACTGTGTGTTCCAGCTGTCTGGTGTGGACGAGGACATCGTCACCAAACTGGACAAGACCAGGACCAACGCGGGTAGGTCTGAGACCCGGAGCGGTGAAGGAGGGAAGCAAACATCCACTTTGTTCACTTTGTGTGTTTTAGATTTGGGAAGTTTTGTTTTCTTACATTTCTAGTCTAGTTTTTATTTGTAGTCATTTTAAGACTCGGATCAGAATTAAACACAACGAGAGTTATGAACACTGTTTACTGGTCTAGATTAATATATAAATGTGTCAATATTTGGTTCATTTCTCTGTAAATAAGTTTATTCATCCTTTTGTAAACTCATTCCAGGTAAGAGCTTTATTTGAGTCCGTGCTGAACTATTGTAACGTGTCACCACAATTCAGACGTTGTAGAATCTGCATTCACACAACTACTGGTCACTTAAAGATGAGTAGACAGAATGATTAAACACGTGTATTAATACATGTATCCATCAGTGAATCAGACAGAGCAAAGTTCAGGAAGGAGGTTGAATATGTGTCTCAGTCATCATGTGCAGACGGCATAAAGAAATGACGTCACATGGTGTGTGTGTTCAGGTCTGCTGGATAAGTGGATCTTCTTCTCTTCTGACCTGCTTCATCTGTTCAGCTTGAGACTCTTTGATTGTTTTGTGCTCCACAGAGAAGCCTGCTGGCTCCACCTTCATCATCATCATCATCATCATCATCGCTGTGGTTGTTCTTGTCGTCATCATCGCTGCTGTGGTTGGATTCATGGTTCACAGAAAGAGGAACGGTGAGAGAGACGATCAGAGACACAGTGTTGAGGAGCATTTGATTTTAGGCTTTGAGTTGATGCTTTTATCCAGAATGAGACACTGAAGCAACTTTCACCAGTCACACTTATAAAACCATATTTGCTTTAATTCTGCATTTATTGTTTAGTGCCATTTTACTTTTAGACAATTCTATGATTGTTTTGCACTTGAGACACTTAAACGTAGTTAGTTGTTTCTACACGTTCTTCAGGCTGTTGTTGAAAGTCATTTTAGCTTTAAGTGGAAAAAATCAGTTAAAAAACTGAGATTGTATCTGCTGGGAGGAAGCTGTTCACACTAAACACTGAAATTCTCTTCTGCTTTTTATTTCAGCCAAATACTCTTCAGCCAAATGCCCTTCTGACAAATCCGAAGAAGAGAGTCTCTCAGGGACAAACTGAACCCTAAACCTTGAAGTCGGCGTCCTGCACACAGTGAGTAGCTCCACGTGGACATGAACTAATCACAGCTGCTGTTCCACAAAGCTGCCCTCAGTATGAGCACAAGGAGCTTCTCATGTAAAGAAGTCTTTGACTTTTTCTACAACAAAGGTGCAGTTTGGTTCCGTGAGACGTGAGATTATTAAGAGAAAGACACAGAAAGCTTCACATCAGCTCCTCAGATAAAGTCTGATATTCAAAGCTCTTACATTAACTTCTAGGAACTCACTAACACATGTTTATCAAAATGGAGTCAAAGTAGTTTGTGGTAAATGATTTAGTTTTCTCTTTTATGTATTTGTTTCTCTCTTTAGGTTTATGGGTGAATGTTGCTCTGGATCAACAAGCGATGCTCCACATTCTTCTCCATAAACTGTCAATTTATGGCTCATCTTTCATTTAAACGTCTGAATCAGGGTTGATGAACATCTGGAAACTGTGAGGAAACATCAATAGTCACATTTAATTATTTGGATAGTTTGGTTTTAATTAAAAGGTTAAAATAAAATAAAACAAGGATGATTATTTTAGGAGACGTTCAAATCAATGAAAGCATCAAAGTGCTCACAGACTAGTGTGTTCATCTCAAACAAATCCACCATATTTACTCTTTGATACTTCTGCTGTTTGGGTTGAATCATTGTTGGTAACAAACGTGTAAATACACACACACACACACACACACACACCACACACACACAACACACACACGTTGGGTTCCATCACTGAGGAAACACTGCAAACACACCAGCGACATCCAGACACTCTGTGAGCTGGGTTGTCTGTCTGTCTGCGTCTCATGCTGGTGAGAAACTGGCTTCCCAGCTCTCAGTGTGGACGGGGAGGGAGTCCATCCCCCAACATACACACACACACACACACAAACCTATGGACACTAAAACAACATTTATTTTCTGATTGTGTAAATAGTTTGCTTGTATTTTTCTTTACAGTAGATTGAATTTAACAGGCTGAAGAAAATAATAATTTGAGGGTTCTATGAATAAATCTGTATGTTTATTGTTTGATAATGTCTTTTGATCACTTTTAAAGTATCATATTATTTAAATTTGGGATGTTTTCCTTCTTGGTTTCGTGGGAGTTGAACAGTGATGCTCTGAATCACTTCTTGTTTTGTAGATGAAGGTGGAATGAAGTTGCTCCATTTCCCCTTTTTGTACCTTTGTCCTGCTGTTCAATAAATGCTCCAGATGTTTGTGTGTTGTTGTGATTCCATGTGCTTCCCCTCTGTGACTGCAGCCACAATCACATGCATGTTGTTTCCCTTTGGACTCTAAACGTCGTGTTCTTCACTTCACTGGTTTAAAGCATGCTGGGAGTTGCTGCAAATGGAAGACTCACATCGCCTGAGATCATTTTATCGTAACAAAATAACATTTGTAAATCCTGCGTCTTATCAGCACATGTTGTGGTCGTAGTATCTACAATGATCTGAATATTCAGTGTTCTCTGTTGTCTCTGAGGATAAATGGACGAGTCTTTGACCTGCAGACGTCCAACAAAAGAGCAAGAAGAGTGAACATTTTAGGGGCAAAGTAGTGATTCTTCACAGATATCTGAAGAGGGTTTTACTTTTCATAAGACAAGAAAACATGAGACGCATTGATTAAGACCGTCCTAATCAACACGTGTGTAAAATCATTGAACAGCATTGAGGGTCGACGGTGGCGCATGTGTAGAGCGGGAGCACCGGAACGAGCCCCGGTGTGTGGCGTGAGCGATGCCCCGGCGGCCCAGCTCGTACGCCTCCTCCACCGCCATGTCCTCCCTGTAGCCGCTGTCCACCACGCCGTAGGCGTAGCTGCTCCCACAGCCGGTGGAGAACATGCGGCCGGACAGACGCGTCCCTCGGTCGTCCACGTAGTACAGACCGGGACCCTGGAGACACAAAGACACCCGATGGTCTGCTGGGAAATCAGCATCTCAGACACAGCAGCTGTTCCTGAGTCACGGAACACAAGCTGCTGATGATATTTGACCAACACCAGATTTAGTAAATGGTCATTTTGGGTCATATTTTAAAGGTTTAAATGAGCTGCTCTCTCCTCCTTCTTACAGATGTTATAGGCTACTTTAATGGATGCATTTAGAGGCACATGCCAGCAGGTGGTTTCTGTATTCACGTGTCATACTGACATGTAGTGGATATTTGTTTGTGTGTAAGTGATTCCTTCTTACTGTCACTAACATTGTGTGGTAGGACCTGTCCATGGTGGCTCTGCTCCCTGAGAGCCCCTTCCAGTCCCCACATGTCACATGTGTCAATCCATGCAAACCTTTTCCACAGCATCAACCCTCCTCCCTGTTTGGATCACCTTTGTTTACTTGCTGGGCAGGTTTAGTGATGGAGGTCATGCAGAGGATTCAGTATTGATTTGATCATATCCAGTGAAAAGTTCCTCACAGTAACTTGTTAAATTAAGGACGCAAACCGGCAAAGAAAAGCCAACCGGTTCGATGCCGTAGGTCCAAAACTAAACGTGGGCCTGTTGAACTAGAGCTACTTCACATGTTAACAAGTGACTGTAAAGTTTCTACAATGATGAAGGCAGTTTGAATATAAATAAAGCAGCAGGAGCATAAAACATCCACGTTAAACATTCTGCCTCAGAAAACAACCTCACAATCCTCTAGTGCAGCGAGGACGTTTCTATTTCTATGCTCTGCTTCACAGGAAGTGGAAGAAAAAGGATTCTGGTTTGTTTTGGCACAGAGACTCAAAGGCACAGCTCACCTCTTTGTCCCATCCACAGATCATGCTTCCCATAGAGAGGCCCATGCCTCTGTAGCCCAGCATCATGTTGCACAGCAGCTTGGAGGCAGCAGCCACAGAGATCCTGTGGTTGCTCCTCAGCCTGTACAGCCTGGAGGGACCAAGTCACCAAACAAATGAAACATCAATCGGGGTTGTTTCCAGGGTCGACCTGTCACCTTTCATTTTACACGCATGTCCGTCCAAAATATCACCACTGCATCGTTTCACCGTTAAACATTTGTGTGTTGTTATCTTTTGCTCTGGATACTTGATTAAAGTTGTTTTGTGAGGTCAGTTAAGGTCAGTTAAGTCCAAGTGGACCTTTGTGTCTGATTTGAAATTCAACAATGAACAGGAACAACAAATTCATGATGAAATGACTACGGCTAAATTCATATTTAAATAATGTTTAATTTGTGTTTTGATGCGTAACACTACACGTGCTGTAACATGCAACACTCATGTCTTCACACACTCTCATGTCTTCACACACTCATGTCTTCACACACTCATGTCTCCACACACACTCATGTCTCCACACACACTCATGTCTTCACACACACTCATGTCTTCACACTCTCATGTCTTCACACACTCATGTCTTCACACACACTCATGTCTTCACACACTCATGTCTTCACACACACTCATGTCTCCACACACTCATGGAGGCCTCAGACGGCCCGTGTGGGGTTTAAAGTCTCAGTCCTTTTAACCACTGAACCTCTTTGCTCCACTCAAACCAACTAAATGAGATCAGAGCGTTCTCCGGTTTCTTTCCCAGACCAGATACTTTTCTCACCTCTGCATGGAACACATTTTAGTATCAATACACAGACACACAGAGCATTACATGTCAGAATGGACAGATTGATGTTCAAACCACTACAGACGGACCTGCATTCTTTGGCCAGGAGTCTCTCCCAGTACTGGCAGTCTGCAGCGCTGCACGACATGGTGCCCAGCAGGTAGGGGTTGATCTCTATCACCTTGTTGACGTCGTTGGACGCTGCAGAGCGGGACACATTTGTGTAAAGAAGACATTCTGTGAGCTCAGAGTTTCTCTTGTTGCCTCATTTACTTTGTATGGTTCCGTGTTCCTCTGTGTTACATTTCAAAGCTCCACACATCTGTGATATGATGCATGAGAAATAAAAACGTGTCTACCCAAGTAACGGCCTGCTGAGGCTCTGGAGTCCACAGCCACAATGACTCCATGTCTGAACTTGAAGGCCAGGGTGGTCGTCCCGTGGTTCAGGTCTATACTCACACCACCATCACGGCTGCAGGTTCCTAGAAACCCTGAAGGCTAAAATAGAAGCAAAGAGGAGATCTCAGTGGGTGGAATCACGCGTGTAGGTGCCGTGTGTGTGTCTATGTGTGTTATTCCACAGTAACGTGTAAGATGAATGCATCATTTGAAGCTGCAGGAGAAGCGAACGCGACCACAGACGCGTAAAAGACGTTGAACCACCGCGCGTCTGGCGCGTCACGCTTGTTGCATCAGGATCACCTGATACGATGCAGACTTTTCATTTTGTAGCAAAACTCGGTGAAATGAGACTCACGTCTACACCCAGAGGGACAGCAAATTCCTGCGTTTTGGTCCCGAAGTTGTAGTGGTTGGTTCGGTCGAAGAGATGCGTCTGTCTGGCTGGAAGAATCTGCTCACGGAGTTCAGCATAAGACTTCAAACCAGATACTTGGAAAAGAGCCATTATGTATTCGACTATATTGTGATTATATTCTGCTCTTTAAGTTGTACGAAATGACGAAAGTCTCTGAAGAAGCGTCACGGATAACTTCCTGGGAAGGGACGATGAATTCGAAAGTGAAAGGGTTTAAAAGCTGTTTTATTGTAAATAAATGCTAAAAGAGCCAGCTAGCTACATAAAACCAACAAGTATACACGAATACGTTCAGCTGGTCATCATATAACTTATAACCTGATTTGATAGAAACAAATAAAAGAAAACTGTGGTTAGAATCTTACGTTAATAAAAACAACGCAGCTCGCATCGACCAATAGGAGAGCACCGTGTGTGTGTCGTCATCAGTCACTAAGCGAGAAGCAGCGATCAGGTTTGCAGAAAAGCAGAGGTCAATGACGTCATCAAAGCGTGTTTCTAAATTCAACAATACACTGTATCTACTGTAGTCGGGTTAATGGAGTATTACCGCATATATATAGCTTGAAAATATAACATATATATATAGCTGCAATATTAAATTGAACTGTATCTACTCCAGTCAGGTTGATGAAGTATTGACATATTGTCACGATTTGGGTTTTTATTTTGTAGTTTCATGCCTCTGGTGTTCCTTAACTTTACTTCCTGCCTTGTCCTGTCATCCCTGTTGTTTTCTGCCGTGTCCATGATTGTTTCCACCTGCATCACCTGCACCTTCCACGTGTGTCTCTTGTCCCTTGTGGTGTCATTGAATGTTTTGGACGTTCCGCTCGTCTGTCGTCATCTTGCCTGTGAGTTCCCGGTCCATGTCTGCCCTTTTGTGTCCATGTTTTTTCCCTTGGCCCTGCTTTAATCTTAATAGTACATTCAGTAAATAATTGCATAATATGTAAATGGAGTGTAATAGAATTCAAACACGCAATCAATGCGTGTTTGAATTCATATTTATAACAATACACTGTATCTACTGTAGTCGGGTTGATGGGGTATTAGTATATATAAATGCACTGCTTTAGGCTTGAAATATTACATGTATATTACATTTAGTAGATCGTTTCAAAATATGAAAATAAACAGCAACAGGGATGGAATAGAATTTCATTCATTTTGAATTATTCTGACACATTTTATAGTTTTTTATGTGGTCTGAAATACAATAGACGAAACAGTCTGCCTGTTTCATGTATTTCTGTCACCTCACAGTGAGGAATAGAAACCATGACAATGTTCATTAACTGATTTCCACTGCTTGCATTTTATTTTTTAAGTGCATGACCAAGCAACACAATAAAAGCCTTCACACTTTTCTGCTAAACATGTTGTTATAAGGTGTGACTGCATCGCGGATCAGGCTGTATCCATCCGCTGCACAGTCTCCTCTACAACCTCCAGCTTTACAGGGACTACTTTCTCCGTCAGAACCGCTGTTGTGCCTGCACCATATTTGTATGTCTGTCAGTTTAAAAGACACAACAGCCCTGACCGGTGCTGAGTCCTTTGAGACAGTGTAACAGCGCCGCGCTTTGGTTGGATTTGCCAATTTATCATAAGTCACGTGATTTCCTGCAAACTGGCTGCATGAGCGTTTGGCACAATAAGAGGATTTGGCAAAAGGCTGAATCACAGCTTATGAGTGCCATCTAGTGAACGCATGAAAACAGGGCTGCAAACGTAATAAATAACACGGTGAACCATGAACCACCTTAGGTTGGGAAGTGGTTACCTTACAGCAGCGGTGTTATGTGGTATTCTCAGTGAGCAGTGCAGGTGTTGTGATGTGTGCAGAGAAGATCCACAGGAAACAAAGTTTGTAAGTGCAGAAAAAGAAAAGAAACATCTGAAGCCACAGAACGACGTGGACGCCCACAAAGAGACACTTTTCTCTGCTTAAAGAATTAATTTAGTAGCCAGTATTAATGTATGATATCTGTATATTTGAATAGAAAGTTGATAGTGATTTACTATCTTTATAGATTGGGAACATTGGGGGATTGTATCTGTTGACTTTCTATCCCAAAGGTGAAGGTTTGGTCTCGTTGGTAGGGACACTACCAGCCCCCCCCCCCCTGTCACGCTGTCAAGCTGTCACGTTTAAATCACAACCGTCTGTTTTTAGCTTTTGGTCCGGATGGAACGGCTTCTGGGTCTGGACCCGGACCGCGGTCCTCCAGTCAGTGACCTCTGCTTTAGAGGCTGACTAATATCTTATTGAGGCTGTGGCGGTTTCATATATAGTTTCTACTTCATATTGTTGTTGGGATATGTTCATTATGTCCTCAGTAGTGGTGATGGTGTAGTACAGTGCTGATCTGTGTTGTGCATTCGTTCGCATTGCTGTTTTGTTTGTCCCAAAATGTTTTGCCGTTTTCTATGAAGAAGTGATGAAGACCGTCTGACCGTGAGACTGATGTGTCAGCGGCAGCTCGTGAAATAAATATGCCGAAGACGGCTAAAGGTGGCTCATCTGAATCGCCCGCTCTTTTCCTCCGAATGCAACGTTAGCTGCAAGAATGCGAGTAACGCAACTCAACAATTGTGAACAGAAATGGATCAAAGTGAGCTCAAGTAGACAAGTTACAAACCTGAAATATGAGAATACGTTACAGAATACATACACAAAGAAACTGAACTTGCTTTGCTCCTTTTGTTTTGTGGTGTGATTATAAACTAACTTTACATTTAGTTGTTTGATGGAACAGGAGGAAGCATCAAGCTGAAGGAGAACGATGTGTGGTGACGTTCAGCTACTGTAGCTCGGACATATTCTGTAAGATCTTAAGTTACAGTTAACAGAGCTTGTATCCTATGCAATAGAAAAATAAGAAGTCCTTGCATACAAGTTAATAGAGTTGACTTTTACTGTCAAGCGCAGCAGGTTGCTAGGTAACGGGAGCAGTGGAGGTGACGACACAGGCAGGATGCCCCCCCCCCCCCCCCCCCCCGTAGGCCAGACCGTCCCATTTCAGAGAGCGCTCGGTTCAGCCTGTACGGTTGATGGAGGACCAGCCAGGTCCACCGCCAAGGCTGCTGAAGGCTGCAGGCTACAAGGATGCAAGGATACACAGCTACAGCTCTCTGGTCTGGGCCATTGTGGAGAGGTTGCCGTCTCCACACACACACATCTCTGATACATAGAAATAACAGCCGTTGACTCCTGTTAACTCTGCCCCACCTCCCCAAGCGTCCGGGGCATCCAAACTGCCTAAAGCAGCCAGCAGCTCACCTTCTTGTTGATCTCAGGGTAACGAGTGCTATTGTAGCGGATCCTCTGCTCAATGACTCGGCCCGTCAGGGTGCTGCAGCTCTTTAGCTCACACAGCTTTTCGTAAATCTTTATCATCTGGAGGAAGAGGAGGACAGAAGAAGAGGTGTGACTTGTCTGGGTCTATAATCAGTGGAGCCCTGAGCCTGATCCAGCTGCAGGCTGACCTTGCGTTTGAGCTTGTGTTCTTGGATGTATAAAGAGTCCTCCGCTCCCAAGTCATCTAAATTCAGCTCGGCGTGCTGCAGGCGGTAGATCTCGTCGTTGTACACCTTCAGCAGGTTCTCCAGGTACGCTATCTGAGAGAACACGAGGAAAGACCTGATGGGTGAGGTCAGTCTGTCTACATAACTCAGCAGTTTAGACGGCTCGTCCTGAGTGATTTTACTGCCTCAAGATGCATGTTGGGAATGAAAGGAAATAAAAGTGTAAGGTGTGATTGATTAATGGTTTCTAAGTTGCCAAGTAAAGTACTCACACTGACAAACGAGTAACCTTAGTGACAGGATTAAGAGGGGGAGAAACCAAACTGTCTATCTGACGTTTTTCACTAACTCAATATCGCTGACTCATACAGGGGTTGTTTGGACTTTGGGCTCATTTATAAAACCTAATTCTCTCTAGTGGGATTTTTTCCTGACTTTTATGAAAAGCACTTCATAAACACTGAAGGAACTTGCCTAAAAATCACATTTCTGATTCTCAACGGCTGAATTTGTTTTAAAAAGATAAATCAGACACACGTTCTACCAAAGTAGTATTCATCAACTTCGCTAAGCGGTCGACTCGGAATCGCAAAGCTTGTCCAAAGTGCACCGATCGTCATACCAGCAACAACGCCTCTGATTGGCTCATAGATGTTGTTTGGTCAGTAACGTCATTAGCCATTGGGTGACGTGCTCACGTTGATTATAGTTGATGTTTCTAGATGTCTTATTTAAAGCAAGTACATTACAACTATATACAGATGATTATACCTCAACGTAAGGTTGAATAATGAATGACTCTGTATCAAACACACATTTCCAATTTAAAACTAAATAGAAGGACACTGTAAGAGCCTCTTTTGTTATTATTTGGTTGTTAGCTTCACCCTTAGATGGTGGGAGGTTGTGTTTCAATTAGGCTGCAAGGTCAATAGAATCAGGTGTTGGTGTTTGTGGGAAGATAAATAGTTTTGGACCGTGGAGCGCAGAACGTGAGCGTGACAGAGTGAACGTGACAGAGTGAGCGTGACAGAGTGAACGTGACAGAGTGACAGAGTGGAAGAGGCATGTGTTAAGATAATTTGATGGTGTCACTAATGAGCAAAATAAAGGACAATTAAAGACAAGTGGAAATGTCTCAAGGAGTATTTAAACGCGTCAGACAAACTCTAAACACCAACCAAGGCGACCTGACTTTGATGGGCAAAAAGAGTCTCTACAGACACAAATGACAAAAATTGTGAAGATAAATGGAGCCACGATGAGTTTGCTGTCTTAGACGTCAAATCAAATGTGTTTCTGCCAACATTGACAGATTTGTATACTTTAAATGTATTTAATTATTAGGTTATAATGATTGACAATAACAAACCATAAACAAATGGTGATTTTATAACTCTACAGTTCTTTTCTTTGTATTATTTCATTGATTCGTAGTATGTCTTTATTTTATTAGTTTAAGATGCTAATGTATTTTTAACTAAATCATTACTCCAAAAAAAAGTTCCCTTTCAATCTTATTCCAGAACTCAGGCAAGTTTCCCTCTTTTGGATCATCGGTCAAATTACATCTCACAGATCTTGGGATAAGTTCATCACAAAGGGGTTTATTGATAAATGTTTCATCCCTGCAGACCTAAAAACGAAAAAATAGAAACATCACAGCCATTACAGTCTTTTAATGTCACGACCCCAGCTCCCTGAGCATGTTTCCCTATTGTCTGTTTGTTTTTCATGGTTGCCGAGCAACGTGGAGAGGCGGAGAGTTCCAGGCCTGCGGCCAATCAAGCCAACACACCTGATCTTGATTAGCCACCCTAGTTAAGCTGAGACCGACATCCAGTCCTTGCCGGATTGTTAGACGAAGTAGTACGTGTGCCTGCATTCGCTACCACCGCTACTTACTGAGATCCCGAGAATTCCCTTGAGAAACACTTACTTGTCTTTTGTCCTGTTTTCTAGTTCTGCACCTGGGAACCCGTCAACCTCGCCTGGCCACGGAGACGCCTCCACCCCCACCACCTCACCTTGACTCGCCATTCTGCACGTTGGACTACTCCTGCACAGTGTCAATAAAGACTCTTTGTTTTCACCTGAACCCATCTGGTCTGGTCTGCGTTTGGGTTCCATCAGAGGGACGTGACAGAACAATCCGGCCACCATGAACCCAGCGGATCTAGACTCTGTGAGCCATGCGGTGTCCCTACAAGGAAATTTGTTAGGGCAACACAGCACCGCCCTACAGGAGATCATGTCGTCGGTACAAGCCTTATCTGCCAGCCTGTCTGCCATTCAGGCCCAGCTAAATGCTCCTGCTGCGTCTCCGCCAACTGCATCACCCCCAGCCCTGGTCGAGGCTGGAGAAGTTTCCCCATCGGTCCGGGAGCCCAAGGTGCCCACACCGGAGAGGTATGAGGGAGATCTGGGAGGTTGCAGATCCTTCTTGTTACAATGCGGTCTGGTTTTTGACCTCCAACCTCAAACCTACCACTCGGACAAGGCTAAGATAGCCTTTGTTATTGGGCTGCTCCGGGGAAGAGCGCTGGAGTGGGCTTCGGCTATTTGGGAGCAACGAGACCCCTGTACCACCGCATACCAGGAATTCACGGCAGAGCTGAGGAGGCTGTTCGATCACCCCACCCGGGGTAAGGATGCAGCAAAGCGCCTGTTCGCTGTGCGTCAGGGAAACCGCAGCGTGGCAGAATATGTGATTGAATTCCGAACACTGGCTGTAGAGTGGGTGGAACAACGAGTCCCTACAGGCAGTGTTCTACCAGGGGTTGACCGAGCCACTGAAGGACGAGTTAATTTCCTATCCTGAGCCACAGAATCTCAAAGACCTGGTGGCCTTGTCCATCCGGGTGGATAACAGATGTCGGGGGAGAAGAAGGGAGAGACGGTTGGGATTGCCAAACCATCCACGGTCACCCAATTTCTTTCAAGGCACAGAGCACCCCAATCGCCCGACACTTAGCGAGACAAGGGAGGTGAGACTGCCTGACCCTGAACCAATGCAGGTGGGCAGACAGGGGTTGTCCACTGAAGAGCGCCAGCGGCGGCGAGATACCAGGAGCTGCCTCTACTGCGGATGTGCGGGCCATTACTTCTCTTCCTGTCCTCAGCGCCAGGGAAACTCCCGGGCTCGCTAAATTTCGGAGGCCTTCTAGCGAGCCAAACCACTCAGACCCCCTCCCCTCGTGCCAGACCCCTTTTTCCTGTCACCCTCACCAAGAGAGACCAGTCTGTGGAGATTAATGCACTCGTTGACTCTGGCGCAGATGACAGCTTCATCGATGCTAGTCTGGTGGAACAGCTGGGGCTCTCCAAGGAACAACTTCCGGAGGCCATGGAAGCGACCACCCTCGACGGCAGACTACTAGCACGGGTAACCATGAGAACGGAGCCAGTGAAGATGCAGTTATCGGGCAACCACTCGGAAGACATCTCCTTCTTCATCCTGTCCTCACCACGCATGCCCCTGGTTCTTGGTCATCCTTGGCTGAGGAAACACAACCCCACCCTGGATTGGGTGACCGGCAAGGTAACTAGTTGGAGTTCTCACTGTCATGCTAACTGTCTTAAATCTGCCTGCTCCACTCTATCCCCCGCCAGGTGGTGTCTTCCCCCCCCCCGGGTTTGACTCTGGTGCCAACGGTTTATCACAGCGTAGGTGAGGTTTTTAGTAAACAACAGGCACTGGTCCTTCCTCCTCACAGACCCTATGACTGTGCAATCAACCTGATTCCTGGCGCCACCTTTCCCAAGGGACGCCTCTATAGCATCTCCCGACCGGAGCGCGAGGCCATGGAGACCTACATCAGGGATGCCCTGGCAGCGGGCCTAATTCGTCACTCATCTTCCCCCCTAGGGGCTGGATTCTTCTTTGTGGGTAAAAAGGATGGGTCCCTTCGGCCTTGTATTGATTACCGGGGTTTGAATAATATAACCATCAAGAACAAGTACCCTCTGCCCTTGATGAACTCTGCCTTTGACTCCCTGCAGGGAGCTTCGGTGTTTACTAAGCTTGATCTCCGCAACGCTTATCACCTCATCCGAATAAGAGAAGGGGACGAATGGCTGACTGGGTTCAACACCCCCATGGGCCATTTCGAGTACCTAGTCATGCCATTCGGCCTTACTAACGCCCCTGCAGTATTCCAGAGGATGATAAACGAGGTACTTAGCGACATGATTGGCCGTTTTGTGTTTGTCTACCTGGATGACATACTGGTCTTCTCGGAGAACTACAGTATCCACACCCAGCATGTCCAGCAGGTCCTTCAACGCCTTTTGGAGAATCGCCTCTTCGTTAAAGCAGAGAAGTGCGACTTCCACGCCCACACAACATCATTCCTTGGATACATTATTTCGGAGGGACATGTGAGGATGGATCCCGAGAAAGTGAGGGCGGTTCTGGACTGGCCTCAGACTGTTACTAGAATGCAACTCCAAAGGTTCCTGGGGTTTGCAAATTTCTACCGCCGGTTTATCCGCGACTACAGCCGGGTGGCCGCCCAGTTGACAGCCCTGACGTCCAGTGCCAGGCCCTTCTGCTGGAGCCCGGAGGCGGACAGAGCATTCCGGGACCTAAAGCACCGGTTCACCACGGCACCCATTCTCACACAGCCGGACCCCAAACGTCAGTTCGTGGTGGAGGTGGATGCTTCTGAGGTTGGCGTAGGCGCCATCCTGTCCCAACGTAGCTCTGCCGATGGTAAGCTCCACCCGTGTGCTTTTCTCTCTCGTCGTCTTTCCCCAGCAGAGAGAAACTACGACGTGGGGAACAGAGAACTACTCGCCGTCAAGCTTGCCTTGGAGGAGTGGCGCCATTGGCTTGAGGGAGCGGAACAACCATTTATCGTCTGGACCGACCACAAGAATCTTGACTACGTGCAATCGGCTAAACGTCTCAACTCACGTCAAGCCAGGTGGGCCTTATTTTTTGGTCGCTTCAACTTTTCCCTCACGTATCGACCAGGCTCCCGGAATGGCAAGGCGGACGCGCTGTCCCGGGTATTCGCGAGGACCGAGGAGACAAGGGCCAGGACGGAGACCATCCTACCCCGGAGCCTCGTGGTGGGGGCAGTAGTCTGGAGGATCGAAGAGGAGGTAAAGACTGCCCTTCGGAGCCAACCTGGTCCAGGTAATGGCCCACCGGGTCGTTTGTTTGTGCCCGAACCCCTTCGATCGGCGGTACTCCAGTGGGCACACGCCTCGAGGATTGCTTGCCATCCGGGCGTGGCCCGTACCATGGCGCTGTTGCGCAGACGCTTCTGGTGGCCAGCCATGGGAAAGGTCACTCAGGGGTTTGTCGCTTCCTGTCCAGTCTGTGCACGGAATAAGGGAACAAATCGACCCAGTGCAGGACTACTTCACCCTCTACCAATTCCCAGGCGGCCCTGGTCCCACCTGGCTCTGGATTTTGTAACCGGTCTTCCCCTATCTGAAGGTAACACAGTTGTTCTAACCGTAGTTGATAGATTCAGCAAATTTGCACACTTCGTGCCCCTCCCAAAACTACCCTCAGCTACACAGACTGCTGCTATCCTGGTCAAGGAGGTTTTTAGGATCCACGGTCTGCCGAGGGACATCGTATCCGACCGAGGTCCCCAATTCACATCGGCGGTATGGAAGGCATTCTGCACTGCCATCGGCGCCACTGCCAGTCTCTCCTCCGGATTCCACCCCCAGTCCAACGGCCAAGCGGAGAGGGCCAACCAGAAGATGGAGGCAACACTGCGATGCCTGGTCTCTTCTAACCCCACCACTTGGTCCTCCCGGCTGCCTTGGGCTGAGTATGCCCACAACACGCTCCCTACCGCCGCCACAGGTATGTCGCCCTTTCAATGCCTATACGGCTATCAACCCCCGTTGTTCCCCTCGCAGGAGAAGGAGATTGCGGTTCCCTCGGTCCAGGCTCATTTCCGGCGCTGCCACCGGACATGGCACCAGGCCAGGGCAGCCCTCTTGAGAGCTTCTGGTCAGTACCAGGCCCAGGCCAACCGTCGCCGTTCCCCCGCACCCCACTATAAGGTGGGGGACAAGGTCTGGTTGGCCACCCGGGACATTCCACTGCGAACTGAATCCAAGAAGCTGAACCCCAAGTATATTGGGCCGTTCAAGGTAGAGAGGGTCATCAACCCGGCAGTTGTCCGGCTGAGGCTTCCCAAATCCCTCAAGGTACATCCTGCTTTTCATGTATCCCGCATCAAGCCGGTCCTTCTCAGTCCCCTGCTACCCCCTCCCTCTCGGCCTCCTCCCCCTCGGATGATTGACGGAGGTCCTGCCTACACGGTGCGACGCATCATGGACTCCCGGCGACGAGGCCGGGGTTTCCAGTACCTTGTGGACTGGAGGGGCTATGGTCCAGAAGCAAGGTGCTGGGTTCCGCGGCGTCAGATCCTGGACGCTGACCTGCTGAGGGTGTTCCACCAACGCCACCCCGATGCACCGGGTGGTCCGCCCGGGGGCGTCCGTCGGAGGGGGGGTACTGTCACGAACCCAGCTCCCTGAGCATGTTTCCCTATTGTCTGTTTGTTTTTCATGGTTGCCGAGCAACGTGGAGAGGCGGAGAGTTCCAGGCCTGTGGCCAATCAAGCCAACACACCTGATCTTGATTAGCTACCCTAGTTAAGCTGAGACCGACATCCAGTCCTTGCCGGATTGTTAGACGAAGTAGTACGTGTGCCTGCATTCGCTACCACCGCTACTTACTGAGATCCCGAGAATCCCCTTGAGAAACACTTACTTGTCTTTTGTCCTGTTTTCTAGTTCTGCACCTGGGAACCCGTCAACCTCGCCTGGCCACGGAGACGCCTCCACCTCACCTTGACTCGCCATTCTGCACGTTGGACTACTCCTGCACAGTGTCAATAAAGACTCTTTGTTTTCACCTGAACCCATCTGGTCTGGTCTGCGTTTGGGTTCCATCAGAGGGACGTGACATTTAAAATATGTACATGGATTCTTCTAATACACATTTTTCCAATTGTACTATTTTAAATCCACTGATAATAATTTTCCAACGTTATATCACACTAGCAGGCTTGATGATCATTTTAAGTTACGAATGTAACTACGGTTCTATTTCATCCTCACTGACTGCCAGAGGCAGTGCTTCACACTGGATCATCTTCTGTCTCGCGCATGCGCAGGTCGAGTCTTTATACCAACAAAGTCACCTGTGACCCCGATTGACCTCCCGTCACGTATAAGTACCGGTGTCATCCTGAGATCAGTCCTACCGAATCTTCTCGCGAGCTCACGGGATTCCAAGTGACTAAGAACTCTGTCATCCAGGATTCATAGAACCGTAGTTACACACGGAACTTTCCTTCTATTTCATCCTTACTGACCTTCCAGAGGCAGTGCTTCACACTGGATGACTTATACCAACAGAGTCACAAGGACTACATACATACGTATTGCTCAGGCAGAGGAACTGGGCCAAAGAACCCTCCCCAGCGGGTGAGGGGGGGACAACGTTCACTCTGTAGTGTTCTGTCAGTGTGCTGCCTTTAAGGCCGCAGCACATACATGTATATCCGTCATAGGCGTTCCTCTCAGGACAGTCCATGATGAGGAGACACTCCTGGTAGAGTGTCGCTGCATTCTCAATGGCTGAGCTTGGTTGCTCGCCTTGTATGTCTAGGCCATGGCCTCTGAAACCCAGTAGGATGGGCGCTGCTTTGAGAGAGCACAGCCCTCAGTACCGGTTCCAAACCGCTGTTATCAAGCGGGAACTTCTAAACAAGTTCTGAGGGCCCGTACGTGCCACGGTAGCCCTGACCTCTCCTCTCCTGCTGGAGGGACGGGGGTCAACTGTGTAGGCTACATAGGCTGGTTGATGCGCGAGCTTGTTCGCACCGTTGGAAGGGGCGCTGCCTCAGGCCACAGAGTGATGCCAGAGCATCTGAGGAACCCTCACATATGATTTGCTCCCCACAGGGCATGCAGCTCGCGTATAGGTTTAGCGGCTGCGATGGCAAGGAGAGAAATACCCCTTTGGGCCACCAGCCATCCCGGCTCCACCTGTGTCGGGGGTTCAAAAGGCACGTCTAGGGTCTCCAGTGCCAAGGGTACGTCTCTTGCAGTGGCTTTTTGGCCACTAGCAGGACATGATTGGACCTAAGTGTCTTAAGTTAATTTGATTGCTGATTTGCTTTAGTTTTTGTCGTCTCACGACCAGTTCTCTTTGTTTGAAGTCATCTTGGTTGCTAGTTTGCTCAAGCTCTTTCAGTCTTTTAGTGCCAGTTTGTGTTCTAGATTCTACTATTAAGTTAACTGCCAGTGTGCCCTCCTAACTCTGCTAGGTTTTGACCTGATCTAAGTCTGTTTTGCCTTGTTTTCTGAAGCAAATAAGACTTGTATCCTTAAACTCTCATTTTGTCAAAAGACCACATGGTGTTTGTTCACTGATTAGGGTGTCAAGCTATTGGTGCTTTGCATTTTGAGGAGTTTCTGTCGAGGCCAATCGACCTTTTGTCTCCTAAACGACGGGGGAGCGGCCAGCGCAGCCGCAGCCGACTTCCACTAACGAGGGAGTATTTAACTAGAAATCGTAGGAAGCGTTAGCTTCAGCGTTATCTTATCCTCGCAGCACGAAGACGAGCAGAACAAAGACAAGGGAGTCTTTCGTGGCAGTCAAGACGAGCAGAACAAAGACAAGGAGTCTTTCGTGGCAGTCAAGACGAGCAGAACAAAGACAAGGAGTCTTTCGTGGCAGTCAAGACGAGCAGAACAAAGACAAGGAGTCTTTCGTGGCAGTCAAGACGAGCAGAACAAAGACAAGGAGTCTTTCGTGGCAGTCTTCGGGGCGGCTGAATGCGGCGCCTTCTTCTGCTATTTTTAATAATGTGTTTGACCCCTTCACCCGTGCCTGTTCGAATCTCTTCCCGCAGATACTACAGGCCTCGGGCTAGATCTGCTCTCTATCGTAACCTCTCCTCTCTCTCCTATCCCACCCGCTCCTCACACGTCCAGCACCTCGTCACAGGAGGTCTCTGGAACTGCCAGTCAGCGACTCGCAAGGCTGACTTCATCTCCGGCTTTGCTATCCAGCAGTCACTCGACTTCCTCGCTCTGACCGAGACCTGGATCTCACCCGAGAACACATCCACCCCAGCCGCTCTCTCCTCCGCCTTCTCCTTCAGCCACACTCCCAGGCCCACTGGTAGGGGTGGTGGCACAGGTCTACTCATTTCACCCAAATGGAGCTTTTCTCTCTACCCTCTACCACCAGCCACCCCATTGTCCTTTGAATTCCATGCTGTAACAATCACTCACCCGGTACAATTAACCATCATTGTCCTCTACCGTCCGCCAGGCTCCTTAGGTCATTTTTTGGAAGAACTGGACATTCTCCTGTCTAATTTCCCCGAAAATGGTCCTCCGGTCATCCTCCTGGGTGACTTCAACATCCAGACAGAGAAGTCATCTGACCTCGTACACCTACTTTCTTCCTTCGCTCTGTCACTCAGTCCCTCTGCTCCTACTCACAAAGCCGGCAATCACCTTGACTACATCTTTACTAGAAACTGCTCTACCACTAACCTCTCTGTAACTCCACTTCATGTGTCTGATCACTTCTTCATCTCTTACTCCCTTCCACTCTCTATAACTAACAAACCTCCCTCATGGACTAACTCTATACCGGCTCGTCGCAATATTCGCTCCCTCTCTCCCTCCTCGCTGGCATCCTCTGTTCTATCAGCTCTCCCTTCAACTGACTCCTTCTCACTCTTGCATCCGAACGCTGCTGCAGAGACTCTCCTCTCAACTCTTTCCTCCTCTCTAGACTCTCTCTGCCCTCTTACGACACGACGGACTGGCAAATCCCCTCCGGCTCCGTGGCTGTCTCAACCGGTCCGTGCCATGAGAGCCACCATGCGAGCGTCGGAAAGGAGATGGCGTAAATATAAACGACCTGACGACCTGCTTGAATTTCAATCTCTCCTCTCCTCGTTCTCTGCCTCTATCTCTGCTGCCAAAAGCTCTTTCTACCAGTCCAAAATCGAATCCTCATTCTCTAACCCCAAAAAACTCTTCTCGATCTTCTCCAATCTCCTCAAACCCCCTCCCCCTCCTCCCCCCTCCACCCTTCTTCCGGGAGACTTTGTCAACTACTTCACCAAGAAAATAGCTGACATACGCTCCTCCTTCTCAAACCCACCACCTACTTCTCGCGTCCCACCGACCTCACCTCTTTCGCCCTCACTTCCCTCTTTCACCGCCCTCTCTCCTAACCAAATTCTTACCCTAGTAACCTCTGCCCGTCCGACCACCTGCCCTCTTGACCCCATTCCATCACATCTTCTACAATCTATCGCACCTGACCTTCTTCCGTTCCTTACCTTTCTCATCAACAACGCTCTGTCATCTGGCTGTTTTCCCAATTCTCTGAAGGAGGCAAGAGTCAACCCTCTCCTGAAGAAACCCACCCTCAACCCTTCTGAAGAAAACAACTACAGACCGGTCTCTCTTCTTCCCTTCTTGTCCAAAACCCTTGAACGTGCTATCTTTAATCAACTCTCCTCTTATCTCCACTGTAACAACCTCCTTGACCCCCACCAGTCAGGTTTCAAGGCAGGCCACTCCACAGAGACTGCTCTCCTTGCTGTCTCTGAGCAACTCCACACTGCTAGAGCCGCCTCTCTCTCCTCTGTCCTCATCCTTCTGGACCTCTCTGCTGCATTTGACACGGTCAACCACCAGATCCTTATTTCCTCCCTTCAGGAACTTGGTGTCACAGGCTCTGCTCTCTCCCTTCTCTCGTCCTACCTCGATGGCCGCACCTACCGGGTAACCTGGCGAGGATCTGTGTCGGAACCGTGTCCTCTTACTACTGGAGTTCCTCAGGGTTCCGTGCTGGGTCCCCTCCTGTTTTCGCTTTACACCAACTCTCTTGGCGCTGTCATTCGCTCGCATGGCTTCTCTTACCAAAGCTATGCCGATGACACCCAACTAATTCTCTCCTTCCCTCACTCGGACACCCAGGTGGCGGCTCGGATCTCTGCCTGTCTAACTGACATCTCTCAGTGGATGTCCGCCCACCATCTGAAAATCAACCCCGACAAGACTGAACTACTTCTCTTTCCCGGAAAAGATTCGCTTACCCAGGACCTGACAGTCAACTTTGGGAACTCCGTACTAACGCCCACTTCGACTGCTAAGAACCTCGGCGTCACACTCGATAGCCAACTCTCCCTGACTCCCAATTTCACTGCGACAACGCAATCCTGTAGATACACGCTCTACAACATCAGGAGAATACGTCCCCTTCTCACTCAGAAGGCAGCGCAGTTACTGATTCAGGCTCTTGTCATCTCCCGCCTGGACTACTGCAACTCCCTCCTGGCAGGTCTCCCTGCCACCGCCATTCGACCTCTGCAGCTCATTCAGAATGCAGCAGCTCGACTGGTCTTCAACCTTCCGAAATTTTCCCACACTACTCCACTCCTCCGCTCTCTTCACTGGCTACCGGTGGCCGCCCGCATCCAGTTCAAAACATTGGTGCTCACGTACCATCCTGTGAATGGATCGGGTCCAGCTTACATCCAGGACATGGTCAAACCCTACATCCCAACCCGCACTCTCCGCTCTGCATCTGCAAAACTACTCGTCCCTCCCTCACTGAGAGCAAAACACTCGACTAGGTCTCGACTCTTCGCTGTCCTTGCGCCGAAATGGTGGAACGCGCTCTCTGAAGACATCAGGACCGCAGAGAGCCTTCACATCTTCCGCCGCAAACTAAAGACACACCTCTTCAGACTCTACCTCGACTAAAGACTAACAAATTGTAGCACTTAAATTGTACTTGTAACGTCACTCATCTATAGCAAATTGTAAATTGGCTTATTTGAGGAAATTGCACTTTCTTGTTTCTTGTTCTCCTGAGTT